TTTGGATTCTATAGCTGACAAGTCTTGCTTTATCTATAATGGTTTTTGTTAGTTCAACTGTCACATAAAGTGTTGGTGGCGTGGAGAGGCTAGGTACCTTGTCACTGCCCGGAAGGATGAGCCGACGGAACACCTGTTTGGAATGGAAGAAAGTTTGGTGCAGCCTGGCTGCACCCGCGCATGGTGCAGACCCCACAGCGATGAAAGACACGTGTCCAGGAGTTGATGACCGATGGTTAGATGAGCGGCGTTGGAAACCAAACTGAGCGGTGAACAAAAGACGGAAGTTGCCGGATCATGCGGGATACGGCAGATTACTCGGGCATCGTTGCCTACCCGGACACGTGGCTTCATTGCCGTGGGGTCTGCACCGTGCTTGGGTGCAGCCGGACTGCACCAAATTTTCTTCCGTTTGGAATGCAGTAATTTTTTCTTGTTGTATTTTCTTTTTTCCAATGGAATTGAACTGATTCTTGTAAAATTCTTGTGTAATTCCTATAAAATTCCTAGTTCCATATAGATAGGCCCTAATCCTACTTCTGATCCACCTAAATGATGACGTGGCAGATTTAAATGATTTTTGAGATGCAAAACATTAGGGAGCTGTTGTGGAAGGAGCTTGATCTCAAAACCAATTATAGAACACCTGATCATCAAATAAGCCTCCAAGTCTCATATGAGTTAGAAAAGACATGGTTGGGAGTTCAACTCTAAGACAGGTTGGAAGGCATGCCATCATTATTAGATTATCTTAGAGCTATAAGTCATCTAATTGACCACGCAACAAGATATTGACATGTTTAGTAGTCGTACTTTATTATTGAAAAAAAAACTGGCTATGGACTGCTTGGTACAGTGTTTATTTTGGACAATGTACAATTTGGAGTATATTGTAGCGTAGTTTAATTTAGCTCAGTTTTGACTGCTATATACACAGGAGTGCATTAGTTAACTTGTGACATTAGTAGCATTGCAAGCGAGGCAAGGATGTTTTGGCGCTCTAGGTCGGTCGTCAGGCACTTTCACATATATATAGTGACGCTGGCCAGCTAGTTCCTTGATTGGAGGAAATTAAATAATATAATTATACACTTGTACGCTATGTTTTTTTATTATTATGGTGTCTAAATATACATACATGGAAAGAATATGCATGTGCTTAACCACTAAGCCTGTTATGCGTGCTTTTTAATTTCTTGCCCTGCATCTGTCATGTGCACAGGATACTTGTGTTTATTAGCAACTATGTGAAAAAGGGTATGGGGATTAGCTGTGAGAGTTGACGAAAGGAATTAAGATAGGAATTTGATTTTTTTTTAGTGTTGATCTCTTGTTTGGTTCGTGTATGGAAATAAGAGAGTGGGTTTAATAGAGAATTCACATCCCCTAGCGTGAGTAATTATTATATAATACAAGTAATGATATATAATGAGAATGAATTCATCTTCGAACAACTAAAACTCTAAAATCACTATTCCCACTCAATTACCACCTCTCTCCCTTGGAAGTGGTCGGTGAAAGTTCACCCTCTAGACTCTCGTTTCCTCCCCGCTTAAATTCTCACTCCCACGAAACAAGCCAACGATTTCTAAACTCCAACGGAGTACATCTAAAACTCATTTCCTCCTTTCACTTATCCTGACTGAAAGAGTTTGTTAGTGTTTTTAAGTGCACGGTACGTACTCCCCAGTCTTAGCTTATTTCTTATACCCACATGGTTTGCAATGTAGAGATAGACAGGATTCCAATAATGTACGGCCAGGATCGATGGATCAGTGATTGAAATGTACGTGTCGGGAGACGTACATCATCCTAATCCTTATCATTAATCTTCTAACAATGATTGCACGTATGCACGGACGGAACACGTACATCTGCTATATCATGTTTAACTTTCACGAGCATGCATCCTTTTCGTTGCTTTGTTGTAAGGATGTCAGTTGGGCTGCAAGCTCGATGGATGTCGAATTTGGCCCATATAGTGGCTACTGGGGTCTATTGGGCTGGAATCCTGAATAACGGATGGGTGGGCTTTATATCTACAAGGTTAGGCCTTGCCCGTCACGATGGATCAATACTTCCAGGCCCACTTTGTCCAAGCTTTCCTAAAGTGTTGTTATATATATTGTACACATTTTTCATCGTTGAGTTAAGAAAAATGAGAGAACATTCACCGGCGGTAACTAAGCTTGTTTGTTCATGGTGCCACTTAGATTCCACGAAAAAATAACTTAAATATTACTGTAGGTCTCTAAACTTACAATGTGGTTTAATCAAAGTTGAAACCACTTTTTTATACAATGTTATTAATCAACCTGGCACCTGCTAACTACGAAGCAGTAACTAACATCCTCTCTCTCTCTCTCTTTTGGAGTCCAAGTTCATCATGGAGGATTGCTTATTCACTTATATTGTCCTAATAAAACCGCACCAGGTCACATTATTTGTTTGAAAAGCATTTATGTTTATAAGATTGGCCTAATCTTCATCAATCCTAACAAAAAAAAAGAAGAAAAGAAACCCCCCGTTTCTTTTCTACTGCACTGATAAAGTTTACCCAAATATTTTTTATTAATTTCATGGTAATTGTTGCAGGACCCAACTCTCATTGTCTCATTGATTAAGCGATACTCCCAAATATCTATTCCTATGCTCGAGATATTTTATTTTATTTTTTGTCTTGAAAGGAGCCTGGCTTGGCCTGACTCCTTATATTTTACTGCCCCAGCTAGCCTTGGGTCGGCTCATCTCGGCAGGCTATGCCATTGACCTGACTCCCTTGTTGGTCTCTACATATAATTTTCCTCTTTAGCTAGCAGCTATTAGCTGCTGAAGAGTACTTATACTCCTACGATTGTTGGTCATAAGCATGCGAAAAAATTTCCAACAATGGTAAAATTTTATTTCGAGGAGGAACAAATTAACCTGACACGTACGTACGATTAAGTCATTTCCATATCAATATCTTTTCCACCTCTTTCTTTTCTGTGCTACTAATCCAAAGTCTTATAGACCAGTCAGAAGATCTTTCTTTGCTTTGTGTTGTTATTATTAATTTATTATTATAACATTATACAGGAAGGAGAAAAAGCATGAGAGGACGTGAGTGGCGGAGCAGTTGGACGACGCCTCGAGATGCACGCGGTGTTGCTAAGAAAAAGTCGTCCCCCCTCCTCCTCTTCGATTTTTAACCCACTGTTAGTGGGTTGTTACTGCTGTTAATCCATGTTCCATCCATGCGTAGGGATAGGGTGTTAACGTCAGTCACGTGGTGGTGGCTCTCTGGGTCCAGTGGCCACGCGACAGCACGCACGCACGCGCTGCAGCCTCCTGCCTGCCTGCACCCTGCACGTACTCATCATCACTGCCCCTTTCCTATTCAGGTTTCCTATTTTCCTATATCATTTTCTTTGGAACTGAACTCAAATTTCTATTCCTGTGTTCAAACTGTCCCAGTAAAAAAACAGTACTATATATAATACCGCTCTACTCACCAGCTCTATATAAGAGCATGTTTGGTGTGGTTTTGGCTCCGACTCCGACGATAGTTTCAGCGGAAGAGCCAAAGAAGCCGTACTAAACGTTCGAAAAAGAAGGAAGTGTTTTTTGACGTTTGGAAGCAGAAGTTGAACCATTTCTGTTGTATGGAAAATGGAGAGCTATAATTTAAAGGCCGTACTAAACACCCGAAAAAAGGTATAACTGTACAAGCATAGAGGAGCTAGAACCGTTTCTGTTCCGAAAAATGAGGAACCTCTGGCTGTGGTTTCAATAGAGAAACGTTTGGATAAGAAGTTGTGTCAAACAGACATTTAATTTTATTTTTTTGACGGTTTCACTTTCACCTAATCCACTTCATTCTGTAGCTGTGATTTTAGGAAACAGTACAATTTTACAAGAAAAGCACATAAAATCAGGTAAAAAAAATGTGTTCCAAAGAGTACCAGGTACCTCAAGATTCGTGGGATCCCTTATCAGAGTACATATATTTCTGATCTTTCAAGCTCACACAATCTAGATCACTGCATTGCATCCTGTACACATCTGCTGCTAATAATCCTCTGCAAGGAAAAAGGAAGAAGAATCTATGCCCTGAAAAAAGCAAGCCAGATTGCACTTTTGGTTCGGTTAACGGAAACTGAGCGCTCCCAAAAAAATTTCCTCTTTCATTCAATCACCAAAGCAGGAAGCATCATGTCATAATTGGCCCCGTTCATTTGGCTGAATTTGGCTAAAAAATACTGTTCCAGCTGAATTGTTGCGAGAGAAAAACGCCATTTCAGCTGAAAAAATAAGTTGAATAGTGCCGATTTGAAAAAATAAGTTGAATAGTGCCGATTTTAAAGTGAAGCGAACGGAGGCGATATGCATTTCTACAAACACCTAGTACCAGTACTGCTACCATCACCATTCACCAAGTTTCCATTTCTAAACAAGTACACGGTAAACAACAAAAATGGCTTTGGCATCTCTCAATCTCACTCTAGAGCAGGGATGACTGTGCCGTGAGACAACAAAACCCTAGAGGACCCAAAGCCCTCGGGAAGATCTGGGCCGTCCACCCCCAGATCCAACGGCGCTCCTCGCTCCGGCCGTTGTACTTAACCGAGCCGCAACCGGCCTCTGACTGATTTCTTCTCCAGTCTCTACTCTCTACTCTTCTTCCCCCCCACTACCCCAGCACGCACCCCTACTCGGAGGTGGAGTGGAGCTCCAATCCAATCCATCCCAAATCCGCCGAATTCGGACGCCGCTCACCCCCCGCAGATGGACGCCCGCCCCCCGATTCGCCCGCTCTGAGCTGAACAGCCGGACCCGGTTCCAGCCGCCGCCTTGTCTCATTCCGGCGATAACCTTCCGCCGAAAGATTCAGCTCCGTGCTTCCGGCCGCCGGAGCGCGGTAATGGCGGGGTTCTAGCGCGGTGGACTTAAAGATCTAGCCTTTTTTCATTTGCCTTTTTGTTTTGTTACTGCTACCCACGCGCGCGATGGTGACCGAGATGGCGGCGCGTGGCGGCGAGGCGGCGTTCGGGGCCGCGGATGCCGACCGCGGCGACTTCGAGGTCTTCCGCAGCGGCTCCGCGCCGCCCACCGTCGAGGGTGCCCTGGGCGCCGCTGCCGCCGCCGCCGGCGGCGGCCTGCTGGTAGACGATGAACTGCGCTCCGACCCGGCGTATCAGAGCTATTACTACTCCAATGCGCACCTCAACCCGCGCCTCCCGCCGCCGCTCCTCTCCAAGGAGGACTGGCGGTCCTCGCACCACCGCCTCCGCTCCTCCGCGGGCTTCGGCGGGATCGGGGACGGCAGGAGGCAGCAGCAGCAGGCGTCGGCTGCCGAAGGGACGGTCGGCTTGCCTGGGATCGATCTTGGTCGCCAGAGGAGCTTCTCCACCGTCTTTCAGGTTGAAAGATCGAATCGAATCCTTTCTCCCCTTACTTCTTTCATTCTGTGCTAATATATGTCTCTTGAGAAAGCCTTTGACCTTGGACTAGTTGCTCCTGTTTTTGACTGATGAGTGGAAGTCTTGAGTTCACTCCACTTCTAGAGCGGAAGTATCCTAGATTTGCCATGTTTGACATATTTTAGGTATCCGGTTGTTGTACGCACTCTGCAGTATGAATGCGTGATTGCACTTTAGACCTGTGTGATGTCTTTGTCTTGCAGTTATGTGATCTGTTGGTTTGTTGGAGTCGTGCTTCTTCATGGATACGGATACGTAGATAAATTTATTTACATGAAGATAGGTAACGCAAGTAACGGAGAAAAAAACGCCTTCTTACCCTATTTGACTTTGGAGGCCTAAGTAGTATTTTCAGCTGACTTTCCTGATTGTGATGTTAAACCGTTACTAGTGATGTTATGATGGAATAAACGTTATAATGGAATAAAGTAATCTACTTCCGGAGCAGTTCGTGCGTTCCGGTTTTGAGAAATGTCTACTGGATCACGACAAACATTGTTCCGTTTATGATGGAATAAACGTTACGATTAAATAAACTAATCTAGTTCCGGAGCAGTTCATGCTTTCTGGTTTTCAGAACTGTCTAATGAATCACGACAAACATTGTTCCATTTATTGTGGAATAAACGTTATGATGGAATAAACTAATCTAGTTCCGGAGCAGTTCATGCTTGCTGGTTTTGAGAACTGTCTAATGAATCACGACAAATATTGTTCCATTTTTGATGGAATAAACGTTATGATGGAATAAACTAATCTAGTTCCGGAGCAGTTCATGCTTTCTGGTTTTGAGAAATGTCTAATGGATCACGTCAAACATTGTTCCATTTATGATGCAATAAACTAATATATTTCCGGAGCAGTTCATGCTTTCTGGTTTTGAGAAATGTCTAATGGATCACGACAAACATTGTTCCATATTTTCACTTGCAAAATGCTTGGATGCACCTCTATGACATTGTTACCTGTTGCTGTGGCCTATCCGTTTCAACACATCTGTGCATCAGTGAGCATATTCTGCATAAGTGCATAAAGAGAATCTTCTAAATTTCGTGGTTCCCTTTGCCGATCTTTATTTATTGATGATTGTGTATTGTAAAATTCTTGAAATCCTGCATTAAGCACTAGCATTTTTAATATTCCTTTTTTTCCTGGACTGCTGTTCATTCCTTCTGTTTTGTTTGATCTAACATCGGACTTGTACTTGTTGTAAATGGTGCAGGAGGACTCGTATCAGCGTGATATGGATAGGCAGACTGCCAGCCACACTAGTAATGACTTACTAGGTTCTTCTGGAATACAGTATGGTCTAAATCGTGGACCTGGAACTATTGGAGGCCTGCACTCTAGCAATAGTTTAAGGAGCTTGGATGAAATTCAGAACAATGATCTGCCATCAAATACATTTGCTTCTATTTTAGGGTCATCTCTTTCTAGGAGTGCATCTCCTGATCCTGAGCTTGTGAGGAGGGCCCCTAGTCCATCCCTGCCTCCAATTGGTGTGAAAGTTGGTAACACTGACAAGAAGATCAATGGTGGTTCCTCTTCTTTCCGTCGTAGTTCATCTGCAATCGGTGAATCTGATGATCTGGTGGCTGCTTTATCTGGGATGAACTTATCATCTAGGGCAATGAGTGGGCAAACTATGGACCAGTCTCAGCTCTATCAGGATGTCGATAATGTCCAGAAGTTCCTTTTTGATCGACAGGGTGACCAGACAAATGGCAATCAGCAGCACTACATGAGACGTCATGAGCACGGGCAATCTAAGTTACCTGATGGATATTCTGCCAATTTGGCCAATTCATCTACGATGAGGAACCAGATTAATGCTGGCAGTTTCACATCTTTTGACAGTTTGTCTCTTGGATCTGGTTTTGCCTCCCCTAGGATTGGTTCTAGATCCCCTGGAGGGACTGTATCTTCTCGACAAAATTTAGCTGGTATGTCTAACATGCTAAACTATAATGGAATTGGAAGTCCAACTGCATCACCTTCTCTTCAGACCTCTATTGATCCAGCGTATATCCAGTACCTTGCTCAACTTGCAGCTACCTGTGATGATCCTCTAATGGACAGGGGCCATCTGGGAAATTCATACATGGACTTACTTGGTACTCAGAAAGCTAACCTTGGCCCTTTACTCCAGTCACAAAAGCAATATGGTTACTATGGCAATCTTGGATTTAACCTTGGATATGCTGGAAGTCCATTGACAAGTCCTGTTCTTCCCTCTTCACCTATTGCGCCAGGCAGTCCACTTAGGCATGGTGAGCGCAACATGCGCTTTCCATCAGGCATGAGAAACTTTGGTAATTCCTTTGGTTCATGGAATTCAGGCATGGGTGGAAAGATGGATGCCAATTTGATGCCCTCGCTTCTGGAGGAGTTCAAGAGCAACAAAAGTAAATCATATGAGCTCTCGGAAATAGCTGGCCATGTTGTTGAGTTTAGGTACACTTCTTTCTTGATGTTTTTCTATAATCATGATAATGTTGTAACATGCAAATTACCCTACTAATTTTTGAATATTCTGTAGTGCTGATCAATATGGGAGTCGGTTCATACAACAGAAGCTAGAGACAGCCAGTACTGAAGAAAAGGACATGGTTTTTTCAGAAATCATGCCTCAAGCTCTCACATTGATGACTGATGTATTTGGAAATTATGTTGTTCAAAAGGTAGGAGTATGGAAGTGCTGCGCAGATATCTGTTTGTGATTGTAGCTGTCTTATACCTTTTCTTAACTCAATGCTCTGTTTTTTCTCAGTTTTTTGAGCATGGAAGCACTGCCCAGATAAAGGAATTGGCTGGTCAGCTTATTGGACGTGTCCTTGCTCTTAGTCTTCAGATGTATGGGTGCCGGGTTATACAGAAGGTGCTTGTCAATTGAAATATCTCCTCAACAATTACAAATATATATTTTTTAGTTTTCATGTCTTCAATAAGTAGAGCTTTGTTGTTTTTTTTAACTTGCAAGCGTGTTGATGCCTCCAATAATTTTATTGCATAATAATTCATACTATTGCTTCTGAGTGATCAGTCACTGGCTTACAGATTTGGTATACTGTTGGCCCATAGTTTTCTCCTATATGAGAAGTTTATGTTGGATAATTGTTGGCAGCCTTAATTGCATACTTTTTATATGTGCTTATACAATTATTTAACCCTTGCACCTCTAGAATTTACATAATTGGCTGAAAGGTTGTAGCAAGTGATATTTTGTTTGACGCTATTGATGATATATGTGCAGGCTATAGAAGTTGTTGATTTGGATCTTCAGACTAAAATGGTTGCGGAGCTGGAGGGCCATGTCATGCGCTGTGTACGTGATCAAAATGGGAACCATGTTATACAGAAATGCATAGAGTGCATTCCTCAGCATGCTATCGAGTTTATTGTCTCGACATTCTATGGTCAAGTTGTAATGCTATCCACTCATCCATATGGTTGTCGAGTTATTCAGGTATGCTAATTAAATGCTTCATTCTCATCCATTTAGAGGCTTACCAATTGTAATACTATAACTTATATTATTATTATTATATCACAAATTGCTACAGAGGGTTCTAGAGCATTGTGATGATCCTAAGACACAGCAAATAATGATGGATGAGATTCTCCAGTCTGTTTGCTTGCTAGCTCAGGACCAGTATGGCAACTATGTTGTTCAGGTCAGTGCCATGTTCAGTTTTGAAAGAGATACATGTCTGTACCTGCCTACCTGGTTTTTTGTTGGTGGACTGTGTTGTGCAGTAACATCTCTATGCTATTATGTTGATCTTAGTATGTTGTTTGCTTGATAACTAGTATCATTCAATACTGAAATGTGGATCATGGACCCCCTTCCCTCCTTAAATGAAATATAGGTAGACTTATTTTGTATCAGCGTTAGGTTATTTTGTTGTAACACACAACTCACTCTCAACCCACCCCAACACGTGCAAAAAAACTATTTGGCTTGCCACATGCGAAGATTGTGGACACAACCTGTACACAGAGTTACATGACCAGGGCAACCAACCTTAAGAGCAACTTCTATGAGCCACACTGCTCCAGCCCAACACCATAGGCAGTGGTGGACCCAGGATTTTGCCATGGGGTATGCCACACCATAATTTTCACATGTAATTTGGTAAAATGTATTTAGCAATTTGGTAAACAACCATAAAATTTGTCTTGTAATTCGGTATACAAGTACTAAATAACATAATATGTCTTAAATTCAACAATTAAGTACACAATGCATGAATAATCAACAAATAAATCCTTAATTACTACTTCCTACATCTACGGGCTATATCAATCAATTGAACTAATTTGAGGATCAATTGATATAGTTAGTAACTACTGCCACAGTAAATCTGCAACATATATTGGGCTTGGCCTTGGGGAGTTCAGACTTGGCTCCGCAGTACTGCTGCCTCTCCCATGTGGCCATGTGTCATGCTGCTGCATGGAGCAGGAAGAAACCAGAGAGGCGAGGTGCTGATGCCTGGCAGCCTGACCTACTACTGCTAAATGGCCTAACTCAAACCAGGCATGACTTTAGGGTTTGGTTGAATAGGCAAAGAGGAGGCCAAAGGAGAAGTGGGTGCTGGGAATTCAAAAGGCGTGGTGTGATGACAGAGTTGCAGAGGTCACCACAGGCGGTCCTCGGCTTTACCACTTGGGCTCTCAAAAGGCAGCACCCAGTTGCCTTATTGGTCAGTAATGGGAGTCAGATACTGTGGAACTTGTTAGTCCGGGCTTTGGGTATGCCTTTATGCCACACAATCCCCTTGTAGCCCACTGGGTCTGCCCCTGTCATAGCGCACTCTCATTTTCCGCACCTTGCAGGACCACCGTGACACCTGGTTTATAAATTGCATATTAGAGCTTGCAATCTCTTCCTGAAGAGACTAGCAAATATGTCTTCTCGTGTATGATTTCGAGGTGCAAGTGTGCAACCTTTATTCTAGTATACCCTTGATATTGCTAAATTGACAGTGCTTCTGTAATTTAGCTGTTAGTCAATTAATGTAAACTATGACATTGCATGTTACTTGCCACTATTTCTCTACAAACATTTGAACACTTAGGTTGGACACAAATTGAGTTTTGTGAACTCAATGTTGACATTCCATTGCTCAGAAGTCTTGTTCACATGCCCTAGGTGGTTTCCTTTTATGTTTTCTCTAGTTAATATGTAGGGACCTTGGTGGATTTTGTGGTGATATGGTGCTACTAGTTATTACTCTCCGCCAGGTTACAAGTAAATAATGTCTTGGAGATAGGTAGTCTTTAACATTTATTTTTGTTTGTAAATTGTGATTATGTATGTACTTCTGGGGATAATTGTATGGATATTATTTTGTAGGGGCAATAATGTAAGCATAATGATTTTGTTACCAAAATTTGAAATGCTTGACTGGAGACATTCCAATGGGTTATTTTCCCCCTTCTGTAAGCAGTGCACATAATCTTGCTTTAGGATTTGGCATTGATTCAGAGTCAACTGTTGCAGTTACAGTGTGGGCAGGTTTTATGGGACAACCATTCCCGTATGCTTTAGTCATGATTCTGAGATCTTTGGGACCTTTGATTTGTTTGTCTGGGTGTTTAGTTTCTCGATATTTTCTTACTAATGACTTGCTGAACTCTACAGCATGTTCTGGAACATGGCAAACCCCATGAGAGATCGGCTATTATTGAGAAGCTAATTGGCCAAATTGTGCAAATGAGCCAGCAAAAGTTTGCCTCAAATGTCATCGAGAAGTGCTTAGCCTTTGGAAATCCTGTAGAGCGTCAGGTTCTGATTGGTGAGATGCTTGGATCCACCAGTGAAAGCGAACCTCTTGAGGTATGGTGATCTTTCGATCTTTTTTCTTTTCTTGAAAACTTTTAAGCACAACTGGCCAAATGCTTGTTCACTCAATAACTGGCTAATGTGTCTTGAGATCTTTACTGATAAAATATGGGTTGCATTGTGGTTGCGCTTAGGTAATGATGAAAGACCAGTTTGCAAACTATGTGGTACAGAAGGTGTTAGAAACTTGTGACGATCAGCAGAGAGAGATGATCCTAACAAGGATAAAGACACACCTGAACACCCTCAAGAAGTACACTTACGGGAAACACATAGTAGCCCGTAGAGAAGCTTGTTGCTGCTGGAGGTATATATACATGTTCTATCTTCTTTTATGGCTCCGGACTTGACATTGTGTGCCTGTCTGTGTTTAGGGGCTAATAATGATGTATGTGTTGTTGTGCTCACAGAGAAGCGCCTTGGGCTTCAACCAGCATGCACCGCTGCCTGAAGGGCAAACTCTCTAGTTGTACAGCTAACAGTTGCTAGGTTTGCACTCACCTTTTTTTCTCTACTAAAACCTTATATGAAGGCCCCTTTTGGCCTCGCCGGAAAATAAATACTGTATGTTTGCGCGGAAGAGTGTACATTAATTCTGTAGCAGAAGTGATGCGGCGGAATCAAGGGAGGAGTGATGTGTGCGAGTCCGATCGATCCGAAGGCTGCTGTAAAGAGGAAGATGGAAGGAGTGAGAAGCATGTCAGTTACTCTGCTGCTGTACAAATTAAACTTACCTCTTAGAGTGAGGAGAAAGTAAGCTGTTAGCTGTGTCTAAAAAGAAAAAAAGCTGAGGCCATCAGCACCCTGTTTCATCTCTTGGTATAGCTGCTGTGGTTCCTGTTGTCTGGCCTTTGTTGTAACATAAAGCTGAGGCGCACTAGCCTTCGTTTTTACAGTTAAGCTGAAGTTATTAGTATCAGCTTTCCTGAACTGTTTGGTATGTAATGTGACTTTGTTCATTTCTTGTGCTAATGGTTGAGTCTCATGTAATTCAGGTCCCTGATGTCTGAATGTTTTAATCTCAAATTTTCACCCCCGAATTATGTCCTGTTGTAGCACATGTTGCTATTTTTTTTTTTTGAGAATTATACAGTACAATGTAGACGGCCATAACTATGAACACAAACACATGTTGCTATCTGTCATGGTCAATCTGGACGGTTGCTATCTGTTATGGTCAATCTTTCTTTCTTCTGTTTTTTTTTATCAAACACGCTCACATTCAATAATGAGGTTCAGCAATGTCGCGAACCAACAGATTCGATACAAAACTTGGGAGAGGATCAGGCCGAACATACGACTGATCCGGGTCCCAACCAAGACCCACGCGAGCTAATTCATGCGCACATATTATATTACAAGACCGTGGAACATGAACTACGTTCACCGACCCGAAAGACAGGTTAATCAATTCTCGTGCTTCCTTGTAGATGACTGAAGCTGGGCTCCGATCAAGGGCTTCAGAGCATAAGGCCTTCACCACGGTCATAGAATCAGACTTCAGGATTAACCTGTCGATGCCTTGATTTGATGCCGCTTGCAGCGTAGCGAGACAAGCTTGAGCTTTTGCACATTCAGCATTGTGAACAGCTGGGAGGTAGCCTGTGCCAGCAAGCAATTACTGCATGGCCATTGTGATCTCTGACGACAAAGCCCCAGCCGCCCGTTTTGGACTTTCTTCTGTTGGTCGCTTGGACTTGGACTGCTCACTGCTGGAGGAAGAGGATGTGATGGGAGTCTAAACGAATCGTTATTGTAGTTGGGCTTCGATTTGGGCCAACTAGTGTTGCTGCAGCCCATGTGAGTTCCCGTATCGATAACTGTTGCCAATTATTTGATGGCGAATCGATCATGACAGTTGCCGACTTGCGAGATACGAACATGTGAGGCTGCGACGCCGCCGACCACCGCGGACGAGTGAGGCGCGATCTGCCGGAGTGTCGGTGCCGCTGACCCGCGGTTTTCGGGCGGCTGTGGCTCTGTGCGGCACACATCACATATATACGAGAATCAACGAGATACGACAGTCGACAGCCTGAGGCCGGGCAGAGCGGCAAGAGGCCTCCCTCGAGCACTCACTGGAATATATAGACAAATAAATACGATCGATCACTTGACTCTACTATCCACTTCCACTCGATCAGGTAAGGGCAGGGCCATAGATGCTTCTTGGTTCCTAGCTTCTTGCAGTTCGTTGTGCTTATTTCTTCCATGTAAGCAAGGCCCAGGCAGGGTATACGGTCGGTCGCCAGCATAAGTCCTGCTGCCCCTTCGTCAGTTCGTAGCGCAAACTACAAAGTGGAGGAACTCGAGGGCGAACGGTGTCGACGGAGACGAGCACATCCCGATGAACGCGAGGGCGAGGTGCTCCAGATCCTCATCGTCGTGGACGAAGACGAGCGCGGTGGTGATGATGGCAAAGTCAACGAACAGGCGCACCCGATCGGCAAGTCGTGAAAGGTGTTGCACGAGCTCACACGCAAACCTGCCTTTGCTGCGGCAGCGGTACATGCCTCCAGTGTAGCATCCACAAACCCTAAGACGGTCATCTCATGCTGGCGTGCGGCTCCCTTATCGCCGTCCTGGTGATTTTCTTCATCGGCGCAAGGTATGGCGGCCTCGCAACCTAGAAGGTAATGGTGAGCGCGCGGTGATGGCTAGAGGCGAGGTAAGGGTGGTCACCATGGAGGTGGTCCACGTCTGTGAAGGGTCGTGGCCGGCACCGAGCCAGTGTACTCCAGCGAAGTAGTGGATGCCGTATTGCTCGCAGCGGAGTTGAATCTGATCGGTACCGTCAAAGAGGAATATTGTGGACATGGTCGAGGTCACTGCAGCTGGAGTCGTGTTCATTGTCGGGTCAGAGTACTTCAGCGAAGTAGTCGATGACAACCGACGATAACGATGGAACCAAAGTCACGACGATCGCAGGGGCGTGGCTAATCCCCGCAAGCTTCACCTCCATCATGTGCATCAAGTTCACCATCTTCTAAGAGAGGGAATCGATGCTTGCCGCCAGTGAATCAACGGCGACGAAAGATGGTGCGGACACTAGGAAGCCATGGGCGCAATCGAATCGGGGAAAAATTATCCAAGGCTCTTGATACCAATTGTTATGAACCTCCAATACTAAATCACAAGTACAAGAGTACTTGATACAAATTGGGAAGAATCAGAGGGGATCTAGACTGGGAAGAGCAAGGAATCAAGAAAGATAGCAAGAGAAACTATAGGGGAACTCTCAGACATCCGGAGGCAGACGAAGGTACTATTCTTTGTTGATACCCTCTCTGAATGTCCTCCTTTCTTTAGTAGCTGGAGTCCTTCTTCAGTCCAGCCCACTTAGGTAGCCCGGTCTCGGCCCACAAGGTCACATAACACCCCAGTCCATGACACACATGTTTGGGGCTCAACTTCATCTAGGATTGGCCACCCACATGTCACCTAGGACAACAGGACAATCACTAAGTTTCTCCATGAATGGACTGGATATCTTTAGTTGCTGCACTAGGGTTGCTGAAGAGGGGTCTATGCAGCCTGTTCGAGAGGCCGTATCGTATCGTGGATTATTTACTGCTGGCTAATTTGGTGTGAGAGAAAAACACTGTTCTCGGCTGGAAATTTACGATCGTTTACGAGAAAGCGAACAGGCTGATGGTCTATAATCCTACTCGTGCCATAGAACTCAAGAAACAAAGACGTTAATGGGACTTTCCAACACAAGATTAAAAAGAGGAGGCACAAGCATGGTGCCTCTTACGGGCTAGGCATCTTGCAGCGCATTAGTGTATCATTTTGCACTGGTTTTTCTTTACCTGTTGGTCTTTCCTCTTTCTATTTCCTTTTCCCCTTTCCCTTGTTATTTTTGTACAACCTGTTTTATTTGTCAAATACTTATTTTCAAAACAGCTTCACCCATGAAGTTGTTTTTCTCCCCCTCTCACAAAAACATGAGTTGGGATGAAGCTGAAAAAATAGCTTATCCTAGCTCTCTCCCTCATTTCTCTCTCCCATTCATTCATGTATGAAGTTGTTGGTGAAGCTATTTTGCCAAACAATTTTTTTAAAACAGCTCAGCTTCACCTAGAAAGTTACTCATGAAGCTGTTTTTTCAAAAAAACAGCTTTACTAGTGAAGTTGAGCTGTGACAAACAGGCTCTTTGTCTGAACGAGAAAGCAGAGAACTGCTTAGACATATAAAAAGGAGAAGCATGCAGAGTTTACGACCATTGTGTTACAACGATAAACAAGGGAGATCAAATTCCTAAGCATAAAAACAATTACGTGCAAGGATCATGATAGGCTCGATTCCTAAAATGGCTATACCTCCTTTGTCAAGGCGATAATGTGAAGGTGAGAAAAATTAATTTCTTTCTGTTGGAAAGCTTGGGTTTCTAGTGGGTAGGACTAGAGAGGAGTAACCGAGACCTTCGCCCAGTTGTGTGCCCCGGGCAAAGACGTGAAAGATGGAGAGTGGGACCAAGCTTGATTAGGGTTTCATAAATGCAATCAGCCACACCTTGTACAGAGTTTTTGTTCCCCTTTTATAGGGCACTGCTGGCTAAGTCTACTCTTTACAATTCTACCTCTTGTCGGTTACAGTACATCCTCGAAATATTCCTATACTAATACAAACTGCTAGGGGTATTTTGGGTGCCTTCTTCAACCGCCTTTGCTTGATGGGCCGCTACCGTGAGTTCGTTTGTGGCCCATGGCCTGGCACCGCCGCCCTAGAGGAAGTCCCTCGGCTCTCAGAACCTTCGTCCGGGATGACCTTCGCCCGTACCTTCGCGCCGACTCCTGTAGCCTCCGCAAGTGTCACCCGAGCCTTAGCCATTGGCCGCATCCGGGCGCCTCCGCTCAGGGCGCTGGAGCCTCCGCCTCGGACCGCGTTCGGGTGCTTTCGCCACAGCCTCTTGTCCTTCGCCCTGATCGGCCGATCGGGTGGAGGCCTTCATCTTCTTTTCCTGCACGTCACTCATAAAATTCATTAATCATTAGCTTTCATTGTTGTTGCGGTCCTTGGCCTCCGTGACTCATAACCGTGTCCCAACAGTTTCCCCTTGAGGGCTTGGTCTGATGCTGGCGGGCCATGCCCTCAAAACATTGTCCTCAGGCTCTGAGGCGCGGAGGCTTCCCCCATGCGGGCCATGCCCTTGAAACCTAGCCCTCAGGCTCTAAGGTGCGGAGGCTCTTGCGCACGCGGAGGCTTATCCCCCTTTCCCCCTTGGGATGCCTGGATCAGACCGCCGTGTTGGTGACATGTCGTTATTTGATTCTTCGCGGTGGCTGTGGAACTGACGTGTTTTTGAACGGATGTGACCGTTGGCCCCGAAAGTCGAAGCGACGCGGCGAGGGCTATATAAGGGTCTGTAGGTGAAGGCTCCCCCCGTCCCTATCTTAGCCATCGCTTTTGCTGCTGCTTCTTCCTACACTGTCCCTTTGCACCTAGCTTTCGCTTAGTTGGTTTTTGCCTTCGCTCCCCTTTTGGG